GTACCTCCATAGCTGATCATCTGACACCCTTTAAGTGATCAACATTAAGGATATTTAAAGCATGCGTTGATCTTTGATTTACCAATAGTTTTATCCTGTTAAGGAGTAATCCCCCTTTTCTTTCTTTCTTTCTTTTTTTTTTTTAAATTTTTAATCTACACTTACCTGAAGAATACTATGTTTACTATGCTCTCCCCTATATCAGGTCCCCCCTAACAACCACATTACGGTTACTGTCCATCAGCTTAGCAAAATGTTGTAGAGTCACTACTTGTCCTCTCTGTGTTGTGCAGCCCACCCTCCCCTTTCTCCCTCCCCCCCATGCATGCTAATCTTAATACCCCCCTTCTTCTTCCCCCCCCTTATCCCTCCCTGCCCACCCATCCTCCCCAGTTCCTTTCCCTTTGGTACCTGTTAGTCCATTTTTGGGTTCTGTAATTCTGCTGCTGTTTTGTTCCTTCAGTTTTTCCTTTGTTCCTATACTCCTCAGATGAGTGAAATCATTTGGTATTTCTCTTTCTCCGCTTGGCTTATTTCACTGAGCATAATACTCTCCAGCTCCATCCATGTTGCTGCAAATGGTTGGATTTTTCCACTTCTTATGGCTGAGTAGTATTCCATTGTGTATATGTACCACATCTTCTTTATCCATTCATCTACAGATGGACATTTAGGTTGCTTCCAATTCTTGGCTATTGTAAATAGTGCTGCGATAAACATAGGAGTGCATCTGTCTTTCTCAAACTTGATTGCTGCGTTCTTAGGGTAAATTCCTAGGAGTGGAATTCCTGGGTCAAATGGTAGGTCTGTTTTGAGCATTTTGATGCACCTCCATACTGCTTTCCACAATGGTTGAACTAATTTACATTCCCACCAGCAGTGTAGGAGGGTTCCCCTTTCTCCACAGCCTCGCCAACATTTGTTGTTGTTTGTCTTTTGGATGGCAGCTATCCTTACTGGTGTGAGGTGATACCTCATTGTAGTTTTAATTTGCATTTCTCTGATAATTAGCGATGTGGAGCATCTTTTCATGTGTCTCTTGGCCATCTGTATTTCTTTTTTGGAGAACTGTCTGTTCAGTTCCTCTGCCCATTTTTTAATTGGGTTATTTGTTTTTTGTTTGTTGAGGCGTGTGAGCTCTTTATATATTCTGGACGTCAAGCCTTTATCAGATCTGTCATTTTCAAATATATTCTCCCATACTGTAGGGTTCCTTTTTGTTCTATTGATGGTGTCTTTCGCTGTACAGAAGCTTTTCAGCTTAATGTAGTCCCACTTGCTCATTTTTGCTGTTGTTTTCCTTGCCCGGGGAGATATGTTCAAGAAGAGATCACTCATGTTTATGTCTAAGAGGTTTTTGCCTATGTTTTTTTCCAAGAGTTTAATGGTTTCGTGACTTACATTCAGGTCTTTGATCCATTTTGAGTTTACCTTTGTATATGGGGTTAGACAATGGTCCAGTTTCATTCTCCTACATGTAGCTGTCCAGTTTTGCCAGCACCATCTGTTGAAGAGACTGTCATTTTGCCATTGTATGTCCATGGCTCCTTTATCAAATATTAATTGACCATATATGTTTGGGTTAATTTCTGGGGTCTCTAATCTGTTCCACTGGTCTGTGGCTCTGTTCTTGTGCCAGTACCAAATTGTCTTGATTACTATGGCTTTGTAGTAGAGCTTGAAGTTGGGGAGTGAGATCCCCCCTACTTTATTCTTCTTTTTCAGGATTGCTTTGGCTATTCGGGGTCTTTGGTGTTTCCATATGAATTTTTGAATTATTTGTTCCAATTCATTGAAGAATGTTGCTGGTAATTTGAGAGGGATTGCATCAAATCTGTATATTGCTTTGGGCAGGATGGCCATTTTGACGATATTAATTCTTCCTAGCCATGAGCATGGGATGAGTTTCCATTTATTAGTGTCCCCTTTAATTTCTCTTAAGAGTGACTTGTAGTTTTCAGAGTATAAGTCTTTCACTTCTTTGGTTAGGTTTATTCCTAGGTATTTTATTCTTTTTGATGCAATGGTGAATGGAATTGTTTTCCTGATTTCTCTTTCTATTGATTCGTTGTTAGTGTATAGGAAAGCTACAGATTTCTGTGTGTTAATTTTGTATCCTGCAACTTTGCTGTATTCCGATATCAGTTCTAGTAGTTTTGGAGTGGAGTCTTTAGGGTTTTTTATGTACAGTATCATATCATCTGCAAATAGTGACAGTTTAACTTCTTCTTTACCAATCTGGATTCCTTGTATTTCTTTGTTTTGTCTGATTGCCGTGGCTAGGACCTCCAGTACTATGTTAAATAACAGTGGGGAGAGTGGGCATCCCTGTCTGGTTCCCGATCTCAGTGGAAATGCTTTCAGCTTCTCGCTGTTCAGTATAATGCTGGCTGTGGGTTTATCATATATGGCCTTTATTATGTTGAGGTACTTGCCCTCTATTCCCATTTTGCTGAGAGTTTTTATCATGAATGGATGTTGAATTTTGTCAAATGCTTTTTCAGCATCTATGGAGATGATCATGTGGTTTTTGTCTTTCTTTTTGTTGATGTGGTGGATGATGTTGATGGATTTTCGAATGTTGTACCATCCTTGCATCCCTGGGATGAACCCCACTTGGTCATGGTGTATGATCCTTTTGATATACTGTTGAATTCTGTTTGCTAATATTTTATTGAGTATTTTTGCATCTACATTCATCAGGGATATTGGTCTGTAATTTTCTTTTTTGGTGGGGTCTTTGCCTGGTTTTGGTATTAGGGTGATGTTGGCTTCATAGAATGAGTTTGGGAGTATTCCCTCTTCTTCTATTTTGTGGAACACTTTAAGGAGAATGGGTATTATGTCTTCTCTGTGTGTCTGATAAAATTCCGAGGTAAATCCGTCCGGCCCCGGGGTTTTGTTCTTGGGTAGTTTTTTGATTACTGTTTCAATTTCTTTGCTTGTAATTGGTTTGTTTAACTTTTGTGTTTCTTCCTTGGTCAGTCTTGGGAGGTTGTATTTTTCTAGGAAGTTGTCCATTTCTTCTAGGTTTTCCAGCTTGTTGGCATATAGGTTTTCATAGTAGTCTTTAATAATTCTTTGTATTTCTGTGGAGTCTGTCGTGATTTTTCCATTCTCATTTCTGATTATGTTGATTTGTGTTGACTCTCTTTTTCTCTTAATAAGTTGGGCTAGAGGCTTATCTATTTTGTTTATTTTCTCAAAGAACCAGCTCTTGGTTTCGTTGATTTTTGCTATTGTTTTATTCTTCTCAATTTTGTTTATTTCTTCTCTGATCTTTATTATGTCCCTCCTTCTGCTGACTTTAGGCCTCATTTGTTCTTCTTTTTCTAGTTTCGATAATTGTGATGTTAGACTATTCATTTGGGATTGTTCTTCCTTCTTCAAGTGTGCCTGGATTGCTATATACTTTCCTCTTAAAACTGCTTTCACTGTGTGCCACAAAAGTTGGGGCTTAGTGTTGTTGTTGTCATTTGTTTCTATATATTCCTTGATCTCTATTTTGATTTGTTCATTGATCCATTGATTATTTCCTGTAAGACTTTTAAAGCGCCTGCTTTTCTTTTTTCCCAGGGCAGCCGGCTGTGGGAACCTGTTTGCTGTCTTAATCTGGAATTTTGCTTTTCTACTCCTCTAATATCCTGTTCACCATGCAATGTGTGTCTGTGTTCCCAGTGCAGGTTACTGGGGCTAGTTATTCAGCAGTCCTGTGATTGCATTCCCTCTCCACTTTGAGTGTTTTCCTCCCACTCGTGAGCTGTGGTGAGAGGATTGTTCAGGTCCCACTGGGTCACAGCTTTGTTTCTTACCCTTTTCTGGTAGATGTTGGGGTGTCACAGATGTAGCATGACTTATATATTGTATCTCCTGGTTACTCTTTTAGGAATAGTTATATTTGCTGTGTTTCGAAATATATATGGTTTTTGGGAGGAGATTTCTGCCACCCTACTTATGCTGCCATCTTGAGAATCTTCTCTGTTTATCGATTTTCATCCAGGGTCCTTTTTATTGTTTGTATCCTTGTAATCATTTGGTCCTATAATTCTTCATATCCTTGTTAGGTATATAGTATCCTCAAACTGACTTTTTAGAAATATATTTTGGCAGATTTCTTGTTAGTGATTTTTAGTTATAGCTATGTTTATATATTACCAGTCATGAAGTTCGTTCATTAGTAGGAGTTTTTGTTTTAACAAAAATCAGTACTGACAAATTAAGGAAAAAACACAATTCATTTAAAAATCAGGTAGTGATATGTTGAAATAATTAGACACACCAGTGATTATCAAACATGGCATAATGTGAACTTTGTTTTGTATTTCAATTCAAGGAATATGTGCTTTCATTGAGTGTTTTACATGTGACTATGTTTTGAGGACTGCCCCCCACGTTTAAATTTAATCCAGCTGTTTCATTTGGCTAACTTTTGAAGATTAATTATTTTGTTCTGATAAAAAAATATGTTTAAAAATCCAAGCAGAACTGAAGTATTAACAACTAGTCATCTAAAAATTTAAAACCTGGAAATTACTAGGTTAACATTTGAGGATTATTTCAGATACTCTTTCTGTTTTTTTATACACACACTCACAGTGATAAATTCCTAAGGTGGTTAGTCACTGCACTATAACACAAATACATATTTTCATTTTTAAGATACATATTATGAGGTACTATCTGTTTTTGGTTATTGCTGGTATTATCATATTCATGATAAAGTAATTAACTTACAATTTATTTTGGAAATTGCTGATCTAACTGCCTTATTTAGTCATGTCTTGTAGGTACCATAAAGTAAAAATACCAAGCTTGATTTAACAGTATATGGTAAAAATACCATTCATTCAAGAATTTTTTCTTTTAATTTGTGAACTACTGTTATTATTTATTTTAAAAAATTTTGCATTATATCCCTTTGGGAATTTTATAGAATGCTTATTTTGCTGAAGATTTAACTTATTTCTGTGTTGACTTTCATCTGTATGTTTATGTTTCAGTTTGATTCGGTGGTTTTGATGTCACAGTCTAGGCAGAGGGCATGTAGACGTAAATATCCAAATTATGGTAGAAGAAAACTTGGACGGCTTGAGTTATCTTCTGGAAATGAATCTTCAAGTTCTCTAAGACATGTGAGTTACATAACCTAAAAATATGTAAAATCTTAAATAATTTATTCTAATTCTTTGAATCTACCTTGAAATTATGTGAAGATACTGTATTCTGTAGAGATTAAGATGAAATTTCACTTTTTGAATTTAAAAAATAGTTTTGGACAGCTTTGTTGAGATAAGCACTTATACAAATGTACATACCAATTGTTTTAGCATATTTACTGAATTGTGCCACCATCACCACTATTTACTTGTAAAATATATCATTACCTCTAAAAAGGCACCCAATATTTATTTGCTGCCACTCCCCATTCCCACCCTTCCCAGCCCCTGGCAAACACTAACCTTCTTTCTGTGTCTGTGGATTTGCTTATTCTAGTCATTTGATACAATTGGAATCATACAATATGATTTTGTGACTTTTTTTTTAACTCACTATTGTTTTTCATGGCTGTTCCATGTATATATAGTCTGTATCAATAATTTTTTTTCATTGTCCTGTTTTCCTTTATTTGAATATACCACATTTTGTTTATCCCCTCATTAGCTGGTAGACATTTGTATTATTTTCTCTCTTTGGCTATTTTGAATATTGCTCGTTTTCAACATTCATGTACAAGTTTTTGTTTGTATATAAGTTTTTAGTTCATTTGGGTGTATATTCAGAGATCAATTTGCTGAGTCATGTTAACTGTATGTTTAACCTTTTGAAAAAATGCTGGACTGTTTTCCATAGTAGTTGGACTATTTTATATTCCTAATCAGTAATTCCCTTCATACATTTTCTCTGCATCCCTGCCAACACTTGTTTTTGTGTGTGCTTTTGATTTTAGCCATCCTATCAGGTGTAAACTGGTACTCACTGTGGTTTTGATTTATATTTCCCTAGGAAGTAATAATATTAAGTGTGTTTTCATGTGCTTATTTTCCCTTTATGTATCTTTGGAGAAATCTCTATGCATATCTGTTGTCCATTTTTCAGTTTGTCTTTTTTATTTCTGTAAATTTCTTTACATATTCTGATACAAATCCCTTATCAGACACATGATTTGCATGATTTGCAAATACTCTGTCCCATTCAGTGGGTTGTCTTTTTACTTTGACAATTTCCTTTGAAGCACAGAAGTTTTACGTTTTGATGAAGGCCAGTTTGTTTTTTTTTTCCATTAGTTGCCTATACTTTTGCTGTTGTATCTAGGAAGTCTTTAATTCCTTTTCACTTTCAATATTATGTAAGTTGCTAGACTTCATTTTGATATATTTGGGGAAAACAGTATTTTTGTGAAGCATGTCTAAGGTTTAATAGAATGTTAATATTTTTCTGATCATCATAATATTTTTCTAATCAGTAATATTTTGTGATTGAAATGTTTGACTGATGAACAATGCATTTAGTCCATTATAAAGCATTGGGATAGTAGTGAAGCATAGGGTTTGAGTTTAAATCCAAACTCCTCCACTTCTGACAAGTTGCTTATCCTTTCTTTGCCTCCGCCCATATCTGTAAAAGTAGGTGTCTGTAACATGTCGCTCAGAGGTAGTGTAAAAGAATTAGTTTAATCATCTAAAGTGTTTATTAGATAATGTTAGCTCATCAGAACTGTCCAAATTATTTTATGTGATAAGACTTTTTACATTTTCTTATTTATAGTGTATTGAGCATACTTTAAGCCCCCCCCTTTTTTTAATGATTTTGAGAATTATGATAAATTTTCCTATTCATTCTCACTGGCTTCTCATTTATCCTTACTGTGTTATTTTTAAAAAAGAAATACAAATCACATATGTGTACATTTTATTATTTTTCCTTTATTACACATAATACGGCATACTACTGATGTTCTTTTGCAGTTGGGTTTTTTAACTTTAAATATTTTTGAAATCACTCCTTTCAGGTCATAAACACCTTTCTCATTTTTTTTTTTATTTTTTAAAGAATTGCATCGTAATTGTGTGATTCTAACAGTATATTTACATATACACTGAACAGTACATTTACACTGAATCAGTCTCCTGATTATGGACATTTAGGATGCTTCCAGTGTTTTCATTATAAATAATGTACAATGAATAGTATGTGTACATATTTTTTTTACTATTGGAAATGTAATTTTGGGGTACATTTCTTGAAATGAGGTTGCTGAGTTCAAAGATGAATGTATATGAGTTTTATGAGGTAGTAATAAAAATTCCTCCTAAAGGAGAACCCCACCTTGTACTCCAGCCTGTGGCATGTGAGAGTACGGTTTCCTGGCTCTAGCCGACAGTATGCATCATAGTTCCTCATTTTTGCCTCCTTAATAGGAGAGGGGTGGTATCTTAGTGCAATTTTATTGTTTATGTTTTGGCTGTTTTTCTGTGTGATAAAGTCTGTGTAATAAAATTCAGTTGCATTAACCACGTTTACAGTGTGTGTAGCCATCACCACCACACATTTCCAGCCTTTTTCCATCATCCCAAATAGGAACTCTACTCCTTAAGTAATAACTTCCTATTTCTTTCTCTCCCCAGCCCCAGGTAACCTACTAGATAGAACCTTCTACTTTCTGTCTCTATGAATTTGCTTATTCTAGGTACCTCATCAAAGTGGAATCATAACCATGTGTGTGCCCTTTTGTCTTTGGTTTGCTTCACAGTGCAGTTTGAATTTCTCTTACTCATGAAATTGTACATCTTTTCATATATGTAGAGTCTCTCTTTTTTTCATCTTTGAGCATTGTCTGCTTATGTCTTCTGGCTGATTCTCTGTCATATTTTTGGTCTATTCCCCACCTCCTTAGTTTTTAAAAGTTCTTTATATGAGGTATATTAGTATTTTGTCTTTGATATATGTGGAAAATGTTTTCTCCCGGTGTGTAAGTTAGTGAGGTTTTCTCTGTCATTATATCCTCTAAGTAGTTATTATTTGTATATGTGAAGGCTATTGATAGTTCAGTAAGTTTAATTTTTTTTACATACCCTGTTACTGAATTTTTGGATTTTCTGAGGTTTTCCAGGTACATTCTCATTTATACAAGTACTTAGTTTTAGTACTTCTCTTCCAATTTTTATACCTCTAATTTATTTCTCTAACTACATTGCTTGTTACTCAGTATAATGTTGAATAATAGTGGAGATAGTTGTCCATATTCCTGTTATTGGTGGAAATGTGCCTACCTCAGATTGATGGTAGTGGACCTTGGTAAGATGCCTTATTTTTAGGTGTCTAAACAGTATACAGATATATTTTATTATGGTAGGGAAATATCAACTAATGCTTACTTTCTTAAGTGTTCTTACTGAACAGTCAGGAATGATAATTATTTTGTGTTCATCAGCAATATTAATCTTTGGATTTTTCTCTTTATATCAATGAATTTGGTATATTTTCAGTTAATGGGGAACGTTTAAACTAACACCAACATAGATAATGTGGAATGTGTTGGGTAGTTTTACCTCCTACTTTGGTATGAACTCATTCTTCTGTGTTGTTGCAGAGGGCTGGAGAGAGAGAGGAGAGTGTGTGTGTGTGTGTGTGTGTGTGTGTGTTCGTTCCATTTTGGTTTGAAAAAAACACTGATAGTAGAAATGGTGTGGGCTTTAGAGCTGATTCCAGTTCCTGTACTTTCCTTTGACACTCCAGGCATATATTAGTTTACATTTCTTTAGCCTTGGGTTCCCCTGAATATGATGAGGCAGAAGTGGGCAGGTAGGAACTTGGCAGACAATACAAAACTCATGGGCAGGGTGAATCCAAGTTTTGTTGGCTTTGAAGCTTACATAGTTTTAGAAAAAGAACTCAGTTCAGAAAAAGAACATGGACAGAGGATCTTGGTAGGCAAGTTAAATTGAAAGCCTCTGAAACTTGTTTCATTAGCTTTGTTACCCCTTTTTCTTTTTTATAGGGGTATTTTGAGAGTTGATTGAGGTAATACATAAAAGCATTTCACCTTCACAGCATGCATAGTTAATAGGTGGTAGCTTTAAGGAGTTTATTACTCTGGGTTTTTCATTTTTTAAGTCCATTTTGAACATAAAAACAGATTGCTGTTCTATACTTAAAGTGTGATAGGCCTAGGAATCTATTTCTGAAATAGCATTGAGCTCACATTTTAAGAAACAACCTTTTTAAAACATGTTGACTTTGCATTTTGTCTATTGAATAAAGTAAACAAAGGTAGATATTCTCTTCAGATTTTGTCTTTTGAGTTTCATTCTCAGTGGCATTTGCATTGTCCATTATTGATGCACCAGAGGTAAACGGCTGCTACAGAGGAAGGTTGTGCCTCAATTTAGAAGTACTTGCCTAGTATCCATGGCCAGAGTTTAAAGTAGATTGAAACATTCAGGGTTGTGGGAATCGGGTAGTTGTTTGTTCCCTTTCTCTTTCCTTTACTGACTAAAACAAAGAAAAAAACCTGAAACCTGTGTGTGTTTAGAGGAGTGTTAGGTTTACAGAAAAATTGCAAGTTCTCATATACCTTCTCTCCCTCTGTATAGTCTCTCCTATTACTAATACCCTGAATTATTGTGGTACATTTGCCGTAGCTGTTGAGCCAATTTTTGTATATTGTTATTAACTAAATTCCATAGTTTACATTAAAGATCAGATCACTTGGTGTTGCACAGTTCTTTAGGTTTTGACAAGCTCATTGTGTATGTATCTATCTACCTTAACAGTCACTGCCCTAAAAACCTCCTGTGTTACATTTACTCACCCCTCTTTCCCTTCTTCTGAGTCACCAGCAAGTGGTGATCTCTTTACGATTTTCATATTTTTTACTTTCCCAGAATGTCTTATAGTTGGATCATACAGATATAGCCTTTTCAGATTGGCTGCTTTCTAAATAATAGGAGTTTAAGTGTCCTATCGGTCTCTCAATTTCTTGATAGCTCATTTCTTTTTAGTGCTGAATAATATTCCATTGTCTGATGAACTGCAGTTTATTCACCTGAAGGACAAGGATGCTTCCACATTTTGGCAGTTACAAATAAAGCCACTAAAATGTCCATCTGTTGGTTTTGTGTGGATGTAATTTTTCAGTGCATTTGGGTAAATACCAAAGAGCATGATTATTGCAGCATATGATAAGTCTATGCTCACCTTTGTAAGAAACTGCCAAACTGGCATCCAAAGTGGCTGTGTTAAATTTGCATCCCACGGACATTATTGAGAATTCCTGTTGCTCCATATCTTTAGATGTCAGTTCTTCCTAATAACTTCATCTATACATTCAACACAATCCCAATCAAAATCCCAGCAAGTTATTTTTGTGGATATTGGCAAGGTGATTCTGAAATTTGGAGAGGAATAAGACCCAGAATAGCTGAGAGTACTGAAGAAAACAAAGTTCAAGGACTGATAATACCTGACATTAAGGCTTAGTATAACTGTGGTTTTCAAGACCATATGGTATTGGTGAAAGAACAGACAATTAAATGGAACAGAAAGGAGAACCTGGAAATAGACCCACATAGGTATAGTCAACTAATGTTTGACAAAGGAACAGAGGTAACTCAGTGGATGAGGCATAGTCTTTTCAACAAATGATGTTGGAACTAGACATCTGTGTGCCAAAAAAATGAATTGGCACAGACGTTTCACAAAAGTTAATTTAAAATGGATCTTAAAATTTCATGTAAATGTAAAACACAAAACTATAAAATTTGTGGAAAATAACATAAAACCTAAGTGATGTTGGGTATGGTGATGAGTTTTTAGGTACAATACCAAAAGCACAATCCATGAAAGAAATACTTGACAGGTCGGCCCTCCTTGAAATTAAGATCTGCTTTGGGAAAGATACTGTTAAGAGAAAATAAAGGACACAGGCTGGGAGAAAATAGTTGCAAAACTCGTATTTGATAAAAGGACTTGTATTCAAAATATGCCATGAATACTTACAACTCATCAATAAGAAAAAATCCAGATTTAAAAATGGGCAAAAAAAAAAATCTGGGAACTTCATCAAAGAATATATACAGATGGCAAATCATTGTCATATGTTGTAGGAAATTGAAAGCAGACCAACAGTGAGACACTGTTAACACGCCTATTACAGTGGCTTATGTCCAAAACACTGAGAACATGTCAGTGTTTTATTACCTTCATTTAGAGAATGTCCTGTTGTATCAGTTTCTTTTGTTAATAATAGTAGTAGTGTTAAGTCTCACAAGTATTCTTTGTTGCCTTATGCTTAGTTAAGAAAAAGTCTCTAGTGAAAAGTTAGCTTTTGTTTCAAGTTTATCTAATTACCTGATTATCATACTTATTTCTGTGATGATTAGGATGATGTGGCTTTTCTTGATCTCAGTGATCAAGATTTTTATTTTGTCCCACTCACAAATTAGGAGACTTCCTGTGATCAGAGTGAAGGTTCCTGTTCTTCTTCTGAAGAAGAATGGAAAAGTGATAGAAGAAGTGAAAGTGACAGTGAAAGCTCAAGGTACCTGTTCTTATTTGTTTTGATCTTTTAAGTGATTTAGTGATAACCCTGGAGGGAACCATACTTCAATGGCATTCAAGATGGAAGAGCTGGCAGCTATGGAACAGTTCACATTGAATTCTAATATACTTAAAAGAAGAAAACTGAATTATCAGCTGTTTCTGTAGGAAATATTTTGGGTGTTTTTAACTGACTGTAAACTTTGAGAGTGCAGCATAAAATATGTGTGCTCAAAATATCAAGTAAACCTTGAGCTGCATATCATGCAAATTGGGTGAGTATTTATCATAGTGGTATCCAAAGTGGCAAAATCATCATGATATTTGTTGTTAGTCATTGCTCGTGTTACTTTTTGTTTAGTTTTGGTATCCAGTTTTCATGGCATTAAGATGTTAACATCTGTTCCTCTTGGTATATGTCAAATTCATCTTGGCGGATGCTCAAGCTGGAAAAAACCAGGAAGGACATCATTTTTTCTTCACAACATACCCTTCACCAAGTCTAGAAAGTTCTTAATATGACTTAAGTTACCTTATTTCCGTTTCCATTGATCCGGTACTTCTACAGACGACTGTTACCTCTCTTTCCTTTCTTGATTTCTTTTATTACATTATGATTAGAAGTGATTTTTAGAATATTCCTTACTCTTTTCTTTTAAATATATTTTTAATTGTGGTAAAGTATATATGATACAAAGTTCACCATCTTAACCATTTTTAACTGTACAGTTAGTGTTAAGTATATTCATATTGTGTACCCAACCCACAACTCTTTTCGTCTTGTAAGATTGAAACTGTACACCCATAAACAGTAATTCTCCACCCCGTGCCCCTCCCACGGCAACTACTGTTCTCCTCTCTATCTTTGTATTTAATGTCTTTCAGTTCAGTGTCTTTCTTGAATTTTATTATATAAAGAACATACTCAAAGTTTTGAACAGCTCTTTTTATTATAATTGGCTTTTAGAAGTGTGTGTGTGCGTGTGTATTTTATTGAGCCTGAGAAGTATGTGGTTTGCCTCTGGTGTCCCCACTAGAGGCCATCATCCTTTTCGCTGTTTGCTGAAGGTAGTAGTGGGCCAAGGCTAGTTTACTGTCTAGTTTCCTGCTTGACTCCTGCTTTTGCTCCAGGACTAGTTCCTCTCTTGCATCTTCTTTCATATCGGGGAGAGTCCGCCTCTTGGGAAGAAGCTCTGACCACTCTGACTTTCTGTCTGGTTTGGCTATGATTTTGTTGGGTTTCTCAGTGTATTCACTAATGATTTGTCTTTCCAGTTAAGAATTCTGGTCTATTCCTAAGCCTCTTCCAACTTGGGGGTTATTACTCTTTCAGCTTTGTGTGATCTCTATTGTTTTCATAACTACACTTCATTTTTTGAAAGGAGAATTGTTGGCTCTAGATGTTGTGTTCCGTGAGGTCTCCTCAGGCTTACATACATCCTTTCCTAATTTCCAGTGTCAGTAAAGTTCTCTTTTTCTGATGATTTTGGTCATGTCAGTATTTGTTGATAGTGAGGGCTGATTGTTTGCGGTGAATCTTCCTGGGATCTTTCCTTCCCTCCTCATCCCCCCACTTCCTCTCTCCTCCTTAACTCTTCTTCTGTTCCTTCTCCCCTCCCTTCCCCTCTAGCCTTCACCTCCTTCTCTCAGCCCTTGTCTCCCCACCTCCTCTCCTCTTATGGTTAAATGATTATTTAGCTGTTAGGACTTAGATTCTGGTTCCACACATTTTGTACATTTTCTTTTTTAGTGACTCTTCATCTAGATATTCTGATTGGACAGCTGATGCAGGCATCAATTTGCAGCCTCCTTTACGAACATCATCTCGTCGACGAATTACCCGATTTTGTAGTAGTTCAGAGGATGAAATGTCTCCTGAGAATTTATCTCCTCCAAAAAGGAGGAGAAAGAGAAAAAAAGAAAATAAGCCTAAAAAAGAGGTAAGAGAAGTGTATCTTCAAGTTTGTTATCTGTGTCTACATTTTGTGGAAGTATTTTTGTCTATATTTAGAAATTTAGAGCCTTTATTAGTAATGTGCAAAAATGTATTTTTGGATAAGTACTTTATAATCAAAACACTTCTCTATGTAATCTGCTCTGAGTGGACCCTGGTACTTGTACCTTTTCAGATTAGGAGCTTAAAGGGTAAGCTCTATGTTGCCCAGAATCCCACCATGACTCTTATTTTCTCCCATCAATTTTAGCACCAAAAATGTACTTCATGTCATTTTTAAGGCACTTTAATCTTCTGTCTGTTACTGCCATGTTTCTCATTTTCATTTGACACTGTTCTGTTTTCATACTGTTGTCCTAATCATATCCCTCTACTTTGGCATATGTACAGTGTAGGTGCCATGCAGTACAGGTAGTTGTCATTTAAAGGTTCTGTGCCTTTTTATTGTCTATTGCCATGTAGCAGATCACCCTGAAACTTAGTTGTTTAATACCAGTGTATTATTTCAGGTATTGATGGATCAGGGATTTGGGAGCTGATGAGCTAGGTGATTTTTTTGGCTCATGAGTTGCAAATTGTCTGAAGGTTTGGGGCTAAGTGATCTTCAAAGCTTATTAGTGGGGCAGGTGGTTGGTGGCCTCAGTTCCTCAGCACATAGGCCTGTCCATAGGATTGCTTGAGTGTCTTCATGATGAGATGGCTGGTTTCCCCTAGAGTGAGTGATTGAAAAGTGTAAACAAGGGTTAGCCCTCCTGCCTTTGATGACCTCATCAAAGAAGTCACCAATTGTGCTTCTGCTTTATGCTATTTCTTAGAGGCAGTTTGAGCTCACACTCAAGTGGAGGAGATAGGCTCCACCTCTTGAAGAGGGAAAGGAGCATTGAGGAATTTTGTCATATTTTAAAATCACCAGTTTTAAAACCTCAAATCGGGGAGGCTCCCTGTGATGACTAGTCTGTGGTGAGGTTCAGAGTGGTGGCTCTGCAGAGCAGGCTTTGTGTTGAAGAGGATTTAGTTTGGAAATTAGCCCTTTTCCATAGGATGTAAAGTGTTATGAAGAATCTATTAGAAATGCAGGGGATGCTAGACAAGTGCTGGGTAGATCTACAATGCTTCAAAGTGATACATTCATATGTATGTTAAGGAACCAGATATGTATGCTATTTAAAAACTAATCATTAGGTGTCATGCCAGTATATAGTCATTCTTTTATTTTTCATTTTAATTTTTTTATTATCAAATGATCATCACACTGGTTTAGCAGTCCCCCTTCCCCTTGGTAGCCCCTAGTCACTTCTCAGTGTCTATGAGTCTAATGCTGTTTTTTGTTCCTTCTGTTTGCTTTTTTAAAAATTTTTATTCCACAAATAAGTGAAATCATATGGTACTTGTCTTTCTCCACCTGGCTTATTTCACTGAGCATACTACCCTCTAGCTCCATCCATGTTGTTGCAAATAGTAGGATTTATTTCTTTTTATGGCTGAATAATAATCCATTGTATATATGTACCACCTCTTCTTTATCCATTCATCTACTGATGGACACTTAAGTTGCTTCCATGTCTTGGCTGTTGCAGACAGTGTGGCAGTAAACATATGGGTGCATGTATCTTTTCGAATCAGGGATATTGTTTTCTTTGAGTAAATTCCTCTGAGTGGAATTACTAGGTTAAATGGTATTTTCATGTTTAGTTTTTTGAGGAACCTGCATAGTGCTTTCCACAGCAGTTGTACCAATTTGTAGTCCCACCAACAGTGTAGGAGGGTTCCTATTTCTCCACATCCTTGTTAGCATTTGTTGTTTTCTTGTCTTTTGGGTAGTGGCCATCTTAACTGGTGTGAGGTGATATCTCACTGTGGTTTTAATTTGCATTTCTCTAATTTTAAGTGATGTGGAGGATTTTTTCATGTTCCTGTTGGCCATTTGTATTTCTTCTTTGGAGAAGTGTTTGGTTCCTCTGCCCATTTTTGATTGGGTTACTTGGGTTTTTTTTTGGGTGTGGAGGTGTGTGAGTTCTTTATGTTTTGGATGTTAATCCTTTATCACATGAGTTATCTATGAATATATTCTCCTATACTGTAGGATGCCTTTCTGTTCTGCTGATGTCCTTCACTGTACAGAAGATTTTTAGTTTGACATGGTCCCATTTGTTCAGTTTTTATTTTGTTTCCCTTGCCTGAGGAGATATGTTCAGGAAAAATTGCTCATATTCATATTCAAGAGATTTTTGCCTATGTTTTCTTCTAAGTTTTATGGTTTTATGACTTACATCAGGTCTTTTGTCCATTTTAAGTTTACTTTTGTGTATGGAGTTAGATACTAATCCAGTTTTATTCTCTTCCATGTAGTCCAGTTTTGCCAACACTAGGTGAAGAGGCTCTTTTCTTCATTGTATTGTCATGGCTCCTTCAGCATATATTAATTGGCCATATATGGGTGGGTTTGTATCTGGGCTCTCTGTTTTGTTCCATTGATCTACAGGTATGTTCTTGTGCCAGTATCACATTGTTTTTGATTCCTAGGACTTTGTAGTAGAGCTTGAATTCAAGGGGTGTAATCCCCCAGCTTTGTTTTTTCTCAAGATTGCTTTGGCTATTCGGGGTCTTTTGTGGTTCCCGTATGAATTTTAGACCTACTTGTTCTAGTTCATTGAAGAATGCTGTTGGTATTTTCATAGGGATTGCATTGAATCTGTAAATTGCTTTGGGCAGGATGGCCATGTTGGCAGTATTAATTCTTCCTGTCCATGAGCATAGGATAGATTTTCATTTTATTGATGTCTTCTTTAATTTCTCTCAGGAGTGTCTTTGTAGTTTTCAGAATATAGGTCTTTCACCTCCTTCGTTTGGTTTATTTTTAGGTATTTTGATCTTTTTGATTCAATTATAAATGGAGTTGTTTTCCTGATTTCTCTTTCTGCTAGTTTGTTGTTAGTATATAGGAATGCAACAGATTTCTGTGTATTAATTTTGCATCCTGCAACTTTGATGAATTCAGTTACTAGTTCAAGTAGATTTTTGGTGGGTTCTTTAGAGTTTTCTATGTGTAATACGTCATCTGCAAATAGAGTTTAAGTTCTTCCATGCCAATTTGGATGCCTTTTATTTCTCTGTGCTTTATGATCGCTGTGGCTAATAGCCATTTTTAATGGTGTAGGTTCTTCTGTTTTTTGATTAGACAGTGCATGTTGCTGCTTTATATTCTACTGAAGTTTGTTCTCTTACCCTTGGGCAGAATTTGCGAAGGATGACTCCAGCAGAGCTTGCAAATATGGAACACTTATATGAATTTCATCCTCCAGTTTGGATAACTGACACCACACTTCGAAAATCTCCTTTTGTTCCTCAAATGGGTGATGAGGTGTGAGAATAATAAATTTAAAAATACGAATTTGAAACAAAACAAAACTAATATTACTCTCAGGTTTTTACTTATTTTTAAATGTATATTCCTTTTTGTAGGTAATATATTTTCGACAGGGACATGAAGCTTATATTGAGGCTGTCAGAAGAAATAACATTTATGAACTGAACCCTAACAAGGAGCCATGGAGAAAAATGGATCTGAGGGTAGGATGATAATACTATTAAATCATTAAACATTTAGCATATAAATTATTTGTAAGTCCATTAAAAAAATCTGGAGGCATATTTCTTTACTATATTTCCATTAATTTCCCACTTAAAAACATTTCTTTACCTGCCAAGCCTTAAGTTTCAGTTGGAAGGCTTAAGTTTCCAGTGGACATTCTTTGTATATTGCTGATAGTTGTATTTTGAATGTGTTAGAGTCTTTCAGGAGGGCAGCTTGGCAGTATATATTGTTAATCTTAAAATGTGTTTCCCAGGACAGATTTTTTTAAAAGAAGAAACAAAAATTGGAGAAAGATTCAATCTCATTTATATTATATAAATTTTTTTCTTTTTAGTTTGAAAGAAAACACCATGACTTAGAAATTTGGAAAGGTTTTGGTTTGTTAACAGTTATTTAGATTGGTGATAGGGTACATAAACAATCCAGGCTTTTTAGGTGGTTTCTTGGCAATAGGAATTGTAACTGAAAAATGTTAGGCCTTTTAAAATGGTGATTTTACTTCTGGTGATGTATGTGAATTTATGAGCAAGGTAATTCCATATCACTGCTTGTAAAAACAAAAAATTGGAAAAAAATTCCAAATATCTCAGAATACTGAATGAATCAAATCGTGGTGCATTTACACAGTTAACTCCTATTTAGAGCCTGCCATGTAATTGAGGCTTTAAAAATATTTGTTGAATGATTATTACATTTTCACAATTAAGAGGAAAAATGGGATGCAAAATGCAGTTTTTTGGTTATAAAAATTTGAAGACAAATGTAGTCAACCAAAATAAATTCATCAAAATGTCAGTAGTGATTGTATATGGAATAGCATTACAGGGGATTTTTGTTTTATTCTTTAAACTTTAATTTTTTTTTATACTTAAAAATAACCATTAGAACACAAAAAAAATTTTTAACAAAGGTAACAGTTCTTAATACTGATACTTAGCTCTACTTCTATGACTTTGGCTTTTAGACACATTCAGATTTGTTTTGTTTCACTATTACCATGTACCTAAGAATAGTTAATCACCATTATTCATGGATGCCATATTTGCAAATTGCTTACTTGGTGTATGTTTTCTATAGCCCACAAGCGAATACTTAAGGTGCTTTCTGGTCAGTTGCAGATGTGCATACACTGGCAGAAATGCTGGTTTGCCTGACCAGCATGTTTCCAGCTGAGGTTGAACAAGATGCTTCTTTGTTTGAGCTCTCATACTGTAAATAAATGTTCTTTCCATGGTCTATTTAATGCCACATTAAACAAATTTTCACATTTCTATGCTTTTTATTGGTGACATGCTGTTGAAAATGACCCCCAAGTGTAGTGCTAAAGTGCGTCGAAGCACAAGAAAGTGATGATGCACCTTACTGAGAAAAGTGTGTTAGATAAACTTTGTTTAGGCATGAATGATAGTACTCTTGGCTGTGAGTTCAAGTTAATAATATATATTAAATGAAGAGTCTTTGCATAGAAACACTTATAAAACAAAATTATATATTGGTCAGGTGACTGTGATAGGACCACAGGCCTGTAGGAACCTAACCCTGTATTTCTTCTAGGAGCAGTCATTCAGTATTCACTAATTCAGTGTTTAGGTGCTCTGTAAAGCATAATACTGCCAATAATGAGAACCAAGTGTACGTCAGTGTATTATAATAGTCACACATTTGTGCGATGAATAAATGGATGAATGATCTTTTGTATTACTGGTATTAAGGAAACAGGTATTAGAGGGAAACTAATAATTAGGGCCCATCTATTGGTGGGTACTCCATCATGGTGGAGACTTTCTCCTTCTGTCTGTCCTGTCCCTACTGCCTGGAATAGGTCACAGCACATAGCATATCCTCAACAAATACTAATTGAAATGTATTAGGTAGAAATATAATAACAAGTTTTGAAGAATATTTAGTAAGCTAAATGCTTACACATTTTGATTTGTGTACAACAAAGTCATATAAATGAAAATGTGTCTAAGGATAGAAAAATTCAGATTTTTCACAGTTGTCTTTAGACACTGAGCAGATTGGTGATCTGTGTGTTCCTTAAACTTTTGTGGTGTATTTTCTAAAATGAGCATATTCCTTACATTAGAAACAGTATTAGGTGTCTAGCTTCAAAAAGATGCAAAGATTAACTTAACCGATAATGATTGTAATTAATGGTAAATTGATGGTTTGGAAGCCTAAATTGTGAATTGACACTTTGGGTAGTATGTGGAGAATTATAGTCATGGGGAATTGCTTTATGTTAACCATTTTAACCATTTATTCTTTAAAAAATATCTGTTGAAGGATCAAGAATTGGTCAAAATAGTTGGAATACGTTATGAGGTTGGGCCTCCTACACTCTGTTGCCTCAAACTAGCATTTATAGATCCTGCAACTGGAAAGCTTATGGACAAATCTTTCTCTATTAGGTATGTGTTGTTATTTTTTCATGAAATTATTTAAATTTAGATTTTTTTTTCTCTTGCTGACTAGTACGTCCTTTCCATTTAGTGGGAGCGTAAACAGAACTGAGTACAGCATAAGAAAGATGTGGATCGAAGTTGTGATTCATGGGAACCCACTAGATATAAAAATAGTGATGCTGTAGCAACAATTAGGTCTTGGCATGTTTCATGACACTTGAATATATGCAGAATATTGGCCTGTAGGGGAAATTGCTTCTGTCTTTATTTTTGATAAAATGTTGGGATAAATAATTTGCTTAACCTGTGCTGTCCAATACGGTAGTCATTCACCACGTGGGGCTGTCGAGCCCTTGAAATGTGACTAATTCAAACTGACTCTGTTCTAAGTGGATTTTGAAGATGTGGTATGAAGAAAAAAGAACGGAAAATACCTTGTTATTTTGTGTCACCTAGTGAAACAGTATTTAGGGTATATTGGGTTAAATAAAATACACCATTAAAATGAATTTCACGAGTTTCTTTTTTTAATAAGGGTAGTTGAAAATTAAGAACTACGTATGTGGCTCCCATTTTATTTCTTTTGGACATTGTTGCTCTAGATGATAAACTGCATACAGGGAATTTAATAATCTTTTGTTTTTGTTTAGATACCATGATATGCCAGATGTTATCGACTTCCTTGTACTGCGTCAGTTTTATGATGAAGCAAGGCAGAGGGATTGGCAGTCCTGTGAGTCTGTCCTTATAAGCTTTATATCCTCAGGAACCAACCTCTGCCTCACTGGTTGGGCTTCGTGTGGTGCTGCTTATTACTGTGGTGCAGGCAAATGTAAATTCTGGAAAGAAATACAAGGGACTATAAGTGTATTTTGCTTATTGCTTGTTCCTTCCTATTCCCTAGTAGCGTTTTAGCCAAGCAGTACATGACATTTGGAAGGGATTATTTCTTACTGTCTTTAGGTTGGAGTAGACTTATTTCCTTTCAGACTTTCTCCATATTGCAGTATCTCTTAAATATCTTCAGTGTGACGGTGGTATAATTCACAAAATTACCTTATGATGTAAAGATACTTGAAAAATCAGATTTCGAAGTAATGTTCTGGTATAACAATATTTTACCTTTGTTATCATATTGACCCAGACTTAATACAGCTTGACTTGAGGAAACCATTCCTTTAAAAAAAAATTCATGTAACGCTTACACTTTATAAGGTATACAAGTGGGCAGAAGAAATACAATCACTTCAGTATTGGCACTAACTTACTGAATGTTTTTCATGGTGACCATTTGAGGTGGACTGGTAGGCTGGCTCACTTGCTCAGACTTGTGTAGATCATTAATTAATCTCTTTAGGACATAATTTATGACTGTAACCAGGCCAGATAATATCAACTGGCAACTATACTATACAGCACTTATTTCACAGGTAAACCTATATTACTTTTCAGGATGTAATGCTGTCTGAGGAGCTCATGTGAAGAGTCTGACTTTAGTCGCTTTTACCCGTTTTGATTTCTTACTAGAAATGATTAAGTTTTACCCAGGTTGTGTCACCTGATGAACATTCATAAGTGATGTTAAGACCTCATCAGTTTTCCTGGTTTCTACTACCTTTTTCTACAGGTACTACAAATAGGTAAATTTTAGCTAACTTCCCTCAAGCATCCCTATTTGAAATGAAAGATTATCAGAGAGTATTGCTGCTTTTAGTAGATGATTTTTAATGGTAATGTCTACACACTAATTAGCAATCAGGATAATTTTGGCAGTAGAGGTAAAGGAGATTTTTATTGAATAAAAACATGTTGACACCCACCCACACACACACACACCCCCCACACACGGAATATATGAAGGTAATAAATCATATGGCCAGGTCCCAAAGAATTGTCCCATCTATTGTTTTTCAACCCCCCCCTGTCCTCTAAGTTAGAAGCTCTCATTTTATTCTGCTAGCATCTCTATTCAATGAATTTTTTTAAAACTTAATTCTCTACAGTCAAACTCTAGAGATTGTCTCCAAATTGTCCTGTAATGTAATGGTTTTTGTTTTATTTTTGTCATTAAGCAATTACTCTACCAGATGTTCTTTATTATAATTCAGTTTTGCTCTCCCATAATATCTTACCTATTCTCTTGAAGTTTGAGCAGTACTATTAGAGTAATTTTATCATTGCTACTTTTAATAATGTTGGAAACTTAACTAAGAAATAATTTTTATCTAAACTGAAATTATCTTTTAGGATTAGATATGTAGGGAAGAAAAATATTGCAAAGTAAATTATTGGTGTCAAAGATTGGAACTCTTAAAACCATATATTTTTATATTAGGCTTCTCAAAATGAAGCCACTGGATGCATTACTACAGTAATACTTAACAGTAACATTATAATTGATATTTATGTTAAATTGAGTTATTTTACATTGAGCAAAAACAATGGTGTTACCAGATTTTTAGGTATGCCTTCAATAAAAAAAAAATTAAGATTTTCTAAAGTTAAGTTTTGTACAGGATTTATATTAGTAAAATAGTATCAGAAGTAGAGTTTTATTAATGATAGATGGGTAGAGGAGATGATGGGCTTTACTAGTTTCTAGTGAGTTTGCAGTAAAATATGCTTAAAAACAATATGAATTTGAAAATATATTAACCTCAAAACATAGCTCTGATCGTTGTAACATTGTTTATTGTAATTTTTTGTGTGAAAATATTGTAATTTTTTTTCAGTTTAATAGAATTCATTGTAAGGGTACTTTATTCAAGACTTTGTAAATATTCTCTTTCTTGGGGGTGAAATGTAGCTTTAATTTTGGTTCATATTATTTCTGTGAAACTATTTTGAAGGAGGAATCGTAAATCTACCAAAGAATTTTTTTTTAGGACAGCAAGCGAGAGGCTTTTATTTAGAGGTAAAGCAAGAGGACAGAGCTCCTGGCTCACGCCAGGAGGGGACAAGAGAGTCCCTCTAGCAAAGAATTATTAATGCTGGATAAGTGACTCTTTTCTTACAGATTTTGTCTTGAAAACAGTAGGGTGGATGAGAAGGAAGCAATAGTGTTATTACAGCAATCTATGTTTTCTTTTGTAGTATGTGTGAAGCAAAGATCAAATACAGTTTATTTCTCTAGAAGTTTTGTAGAGTACCTTCAGAAATGTGTATAATTTGGTTTATAGAGGAGCCCTCTTACAATTTGCTTACCTGCTTTTATATTATGCTGAGATAATGGAATATGTGGATGTTTAGTTCTTTTAAATAAACATATAAGAATTTTTGAGGGTACATTTGGACCTGATTTTTATTATGAGATCTTAAGAATTAAAACACTGTTTTATGTGGAGATACTTATATAGGACCAGTTTTAGAAAAATCACTGATTAAATTCTAATCATGCTTGCTTTTATACTTTGCTTTATTCTTCAGGAAATGACATATTTCATAAGTATATGTATTTAATATACTTATTTAACAAGTATTCATTGATAGTATACCCTGTAAAAGATTCTGAGTTTTGTCAAACTTTGTTATTTGTCTCATGTTATAAAACCTAATAGAACTTATTTTGGAGTGGGTGTTTGAATCTACTAAAAAGTGGAACTTTAGTCATAGGCAATTTTAGTCTGTTGTATGGTTATATACCTTCAGTAAACTGCTGAGTATAACATCTTTTTTACATCTGTTTTATCACTGAAGATTGCTGGGAAGTGGAGAAGGATGGTTGATTTTAAGATACAAATATACTTTGTTTTATATGCATCACATAATATTCTATAAATTAAAAATGTTAATGTTAGCAGATTAATGTCTCAGGTGTTTCCTCTTATAGGTGACAGGTTCCGCTCTATCATTGATGATGCTTGGTGGTTTGGAACAGTGCTGAGTCAAGAGCCTTATCAGCGGCAGTACCCTGATAGTCATTTCCAGTGTTACATTGTTAGGTCTGTATGCAGGTGAAATAAATCATCTGCAAACATTCATTCATTGTGACGGGTTGTTAATATGAATAACCATCACATTTCAGGTGAAACAAAACCACGATTTAATCTGTTACAAGTCCTATCAGTCTCTCCTCTGTAGTGTCTCTAGCACACCACTTTTGTTTCCTGTTTACTAGTACCCCATGTGTAGACTCTGCTTGCTTTCCTGGAACCATTTCAGTAGTCTCCTAATACTTCCTCAACCTAGTATTGCAAGATCTCTGCTCAGGCACATAGTACACTTCCCTCATTCAAAAAAATCTTTGTTATCTTTTCATTGGCTGTGGATTTGAGTTTTTCTTCACTTACTCTGGATATATTTCTGTATCCTAGCTGTATCCTTACATACACTTCTGGTTTTGTCCTTTAAACTTTGTATTTCTGTGGAGTCTGTCGTGATTTTTCCATTCTCATTTCTGATTCTGTTGATGTGTGTTGATTCTCTTTTTCTCTTAATAAGTTTGGCTAGAGGCTTATCTATTTTGTTTATTTTCTCAAAGAACCAGCTCTTGGTTTCATTGATTTTTTCTATTGTTTTATTCTTCTCAATTTTGTTTATTTCTTCTCTA